TTTTTTTTAGAAAAAAAAAAAAAAAAAATATATATATATATATATATATATATATATATATATATATATATATATATATATATATATAAAGTCAATCAATATCTTTTTATTGTATCCTCTTTATCATTGCAGCTGGTTCTCCTCTATAATTTCTTGCATTTGCTCTGATTCCTGACAGATTGCTGGTCAGTAGGGGGGCGTAGAAGGATCCTTGCTACATGCCACTCTGGCTGACCCACTTACACAAGTTTTGCATCATCTTCCAAAGCCAGCTTGAAACTTTAGATGTCCAGCCACTCTACACTTTGTAAAAAGAAATGGATATTTCTCACATTGATCTCTCTGCTCTTGCTTGTCACAGCCCTACGGTTTAATATTTAATGAGGTGTCAAAGCCTGAAAGGCATACCGGAGAGAATAAAAACAAACAATTTGGTAAATATTCTCTCTGTTCATGATAACTACTCTAATGCTATATTCCTCAGTAAGCTAACACAAAATCTATAAATTAATTTCAAAAAGGCAAAAAGAGCCACCTGTGGGTATTAATGTGAGAATCATCAGTCCTTAAGCAAACACTTTAATCTCTTTCTTACCCATGAAGAAAACGGTACCTTTTTCTTCTTATCAGTTTTCGATATTAAAGATTAAGCCCACAGAGGAAGAAATGACAGCTAAATGGAAGTTATTGGCCAATTTCTCCGGTCTCCATTACTCCCCCGGAGAACTAGTGCAGGTTTTCACAACAGCTCATATCAGCAATGCTCCAAAGAGAATCCATCACAATGCCAACGAATCGCCTCCTCCAAGGCAGCAGGCTTAAACAGCCATTAATAAAACAAAGATACAAATTTATCAATAAAAGTATAAGTCCAGTGCAAGCAGAATATTCCATCTGCACTTTTTTTTCTAAGGTGAAAGATAAAGTGAGAATTTTCACAAAGCCTTTACAGTCACGTCTAATTAACATCTTCTGCACAGGCACAATGTTCAGAATTTCATACTTAAAGTGGCGGGTCAACACCCAGCTGAATTATTACATTTCCTTTGCCGAGACGACAGTGTGCAATTTTCTGATGCATCACTTTTACATGAAACCTCAGTCCATACTTACTACGCCGCCGAGTCATTGAGCTGGTATTCTCGCGACCTCGTAAAGCAACTCTGTATGCCGCTGTCGGCCCACAACCGCCTGATCACGTTGGCCAAGTCTTCAGGAAGAATGCCTTGCTCTTCCGCAGCTGCAGCGAGAGAGAAGAGCTGCTGGGCATCGTCCTACAAGAGAGGCAATGACAATTATGAGCTTCCCTTGTGGGGAATTTGTAAGGTACTAAGCAAGAAATTTAACCTGGTATATGAAAATATGCAAAAAATATTGCGGGCTATGACTTATTTATAAAGGATAATTTGTTTAATAAGAAAAAGGCTGGACAAAAGCGTTATCTTTGGGAGAAATCTATGGCCACACAAAGGCCGATCTCACTAAAAGAAATGAAACAAACAACAACAACAAAAAACATCTATGTTTGGAGAAAATTATTTAAGTGAACACAAACACACTTGGGTCCAAATCACACACACAAAAAAAAGCCAAAATAAACATTTGGGAGTGGCCTAGTCAAACGTTTGGACAGGCAGAAGACAACAGATGGATGGATGATGGGAATACAAATGTTTCCTGTACTGTTTCTCTTTTTCATATCCAGAACTTTTGGCCAATATGCAAAATATCATTCAACTGTAGCTACAGGTTTAAGCTACAGCCAGGGAAGCAATATGGATATTAGCAGCAGTTGTTACATTTTAATTAATTCTTTTAACATAACTTTTATTAATTACCATCTAGTTAATTTCTTTTTCTACATTCATTTATTGTGGTGGTATTTAGTCTAGCAAATGTACTCGACTTCAGCAGCTGGACTGTATGTGACCCATCCAGTCTATCACTTGTAATATAATACATACACGTCCATATATCTATTATATATTTGGCAGACCAAACGGATAAAATCCAAGTGGAAAATTGATTTCACGTACATTTTTGCACTCGTGTAAACTAGCGTCGCACGATGTGAGCCTGCTTGCGTGCGTTCACTTCTCAACAGAGCCGATGTATCCAAGTGCAGGCAGGCTAACGCGCTAATTGCTGCGCGTAGGAGTGTGAGTGTCGTCACGCACACAGAGCCATTTAACAGAAAGGTTGGTGAGAAACAAAAACAACACACACACACACACACACACACACACACACACACACACACACACACACACACACACTACAGCAGTGATTACAGCTTCAGTTTCTGAGCGCTGACGCTGGCTTCACTGTAAGGACAAACAGTTCAGTCAGGGTTGACTACGACTGTTCCTGGGTTGCAACAAGTCTGCAGGATGCAGCGGAACAGCATCTCTGCCTGAAGTTGTGAATTTTCTATTTGAAATTTAGCAAGCTTGAATTGTATATGTATAATAAAAAAGGGTGAGCTTTGGTAAATGAATCGTAATTAGGACTATTCTTTAATATAATTAAGAGAAGTAATAATTATACTTTGGTTCTAATGTCAAAGGGTGTAGTGCTTAATTGTCTTTATTGTCATAATCTCCTTTTTCAGGGAGAACCATCCCCATCTCCCTCTCTCTTTGCTTCCCCTGAACAGGAACGACGCAAAAAGTACTTTGCAAAAAAATGCAAAAAAAAAAATAAAAAATGGGTCTTGGTACTTGGGACTCATCATAGCACACAAAAAGTAACTGGATTTTATTGCTTCAGTAAAACATTTATAGTAGCATCTGTTCATGTTTCCTGACTCCTCTTTAGTATTTCTGAGGCTATTTTGTTTTCCTGATTTTATTTATTTCTCTGCAAAGCACTTTGAAAAGACAACTGGTGAAAAGCTCAATACAAATAAATATTGTCTCATATGTACCACTTGGGTTTGGCTGCAAAATGGAGGAAGCAGAATAAAGTTAGACTTCTTTTTTGTTGCGTCACCACAGCTAACAAATTAATGAATCCTCAGGCATGCATGGCAGGACAAACCTATCATTTTCAGCATGCAGGACTGTGAGTTATGGACAAATGTCCAACCCCAGTGACTTAAACACAGTCATCAAGTTCTCCCTCAGTTTAGTCATTTACTCAAAACTTCCAGCTGTAAAATCACAAGGTGCTGAAACCTAAAGACTCCTTTAAACCCTCAAACGAATGAGTGATGTCAGAGTCATTAGTTAAAACCTGTGAGACACACACCGGTACTGACAGGTAGACCTGACAATGACAGGAGGTCATGGATAGTCATAAAATTATAATTCATTGCTCTAACGATGCAAAATTTAACAATGCGACCATGTCTGAACTCTTCCCGCTACAGCTGGGCAAACTAAGCAGGATATCAAATTAATTCAGCTGCTGATGCTACAGACAGCATCCGTTAGCACTTTTGAACAAACCCATCCCCCCATCCCCCTCCAGAAGACCCATCAGGAACTATTTCTGCAGTAGCTTCACGTATTTATAAGTTTCAGACTCCAACGTGTCTATTACAGCTCTTAGAGAGAGCAGATCAAAGATGGAGGGGATGATGAATTCAGTAGGGCAGACACTGTTTCCCTGCAGGTTGCAGTGATACATCAGAGAAGGATCACACCATGTTCCAGTTTCAACCACATCAATATTTCTTCAGAAAAAAAAAAAAAAAAAAGCTGCTGTGAAACAGGTGCGTGCTGGAAACCACATGATCCTACGTTTGTTTTACCGGCGCAGCTTCCCAGTGTTATTGACTGAGCAAGAATTGCCAAGAGGGTGTGAGAAACAGACCTGCTTTACCAGAGGCGTCGTAACCCTAAAATAATCTTTGCTCACCATCAAGTTGCACCGGGGTAGGTCTAAGTCAGGGAGTAAATGTTATTTTACCGTGAAAATAAGTGGAGCATGCAGCTAAGCTTGGAAAGGAGTGGGTTTTGAAGCGAGGCTACACACCGGTGAAATTGGTCAGGGAAAGCATATCGTGAGCTTTAAAGTCTGAATTAGACAGAACTGCAAGATGGTGTGGATAAAACAGTGTTTGTCGAAGACAAAGGGAGACCTTGCTAAGAACAACAGCTTCACGCAGGATTTACTAATTATAATTAGAACTGCTTGCTTTCAGCCCGGCTGTTAACAATGGAGCATTTGCTAAAAACTTAAATAATGTGTAGATACATTTAAAATTTTGACAAATATTGGACTTTAATCGGTGCCTTGCGTTTGTGTGTCTTACCGTCCTGGCAGGGTCACTGTAGTCTATCTTGAGGCTGGCCATGGCTTTAACAATGGCCATAATCGACTGGATGGTATTACTGTAAACAACGGCTCTGTACTGTTTACACTCATCTTCTGAGTAGCCATCTTCGTGGATGATCCTAAAATATCAGGAAAAAAAAACATGAAGTATCTGTGGAAAATAATAGGGAAATTCAAAAGCCCACAAAGTAAACACACTGCGGTTGCTTTTCTAAATCGAGGCCTCACACTGTCTTTGCTGCTCTGCTGCATTTAGAATCATGGAGCAGCTCTGCAGAAATAGTCTTCTGACTGTGTTGGCACAAATACATCTGGTAGAAATAAGGATTCACACACATTTTCATTTTCAAAATGAAATGATCTGGTCAGATTTTAAATATGTAGCTTCCAAGGAAGGAAGGAAGAAAAGAATAAAGGATGAAAAGATGGAAGGAAAGATGGACAGATGAAAAATGTTTATCTTGTCAAACAATGTTTATCTTGCCTCCACACACAGTGAGGATTAGATTAAACAAGATAGGACATTCTCAGTTTCTCACTTTTAGAAAGCTGCACCAGAGAGTGGAGTCTTGGAGTCACAAAGTCTCCATGACAATCATCCACATTATGGTTTTATCACACATCTTTGTCAGGGGCAGAGGGGGCAGAAATTGTAAGGGGTTCTGCATTTGAAGCCAAGACCAATTTCACACAAAGCAAGTGTGTCTGCACCATGTATATCAGCGTCTAATTGAACATGACTTTAACATACCTGTGGCACACAGTCCGATATGTCAGCCAATGATTTAGTCCATCTGCAATTTTAGTATCGATTCTAACAACATAAAATGGAAATGAGCGTGGTAAAAGGTGGGTAACCATCCATGCAAACAGTCAAAAATGTGTCACAGCAGTATCACATTAAAACTGGCAAAGATGCACACTAGTACTCTGCTTGAGGGTCAATAAAGACTCAGCAACCTCACAGGTATACAATTACACTGTCGGGGAGAAAAAGAGCAAAACAGGTGCTGGAAGAACACGAGAGTACAGAGAGAGAGCTCTCACCTCACCAGCAAGTTCAATTTCTGAGGTGACAAACAAAATAAAGTATCTAAAGCAGATGCACAGTACAGTTATACAGTTATAGATTGAATTTAATGGCAGCACTAAAACTCACATGTTTTCAGCTTTGCCATCGAAAGGTATTCTGCATGCTTTGCAACACTTCTCATCAGGTTAATTACGCTTCCCAAGTCAAATCAATACATTTCACAGTTTGCGTTCTAATTAGTATTTGGTTAAAGTACCTTAACTATAAATTTATGGAAGATATGTGTGGAGCAATCTGATTATACAATGTGGAGACAGCAAATAATGTGAGGGAGGGAGGAATAGATAGTGAATGGACGGATAGATGTGCTGATGAATAAACCAACAGATGATGATGGGATGAGGAAGAAAGTCAGGAAATATTATCCTTATTGCTCAAGCAGACCAAGAAAAAACATTGAGATAAAACTGCAGAGAGTGTAGGAACCAAGCCTAAGGTTGATGTAGAAGAAGAGGTGCAGCAGTCTGGTAAACACATAAGCTGAACTGCATCATCTCTGCAGCATTCAGCTGATGCAGTACGCCGAGTCCATCCCTTGCAGCAATGTAATTGTAAGCAAAGAATAATGGAAGTGTTTGCCTTTCCACGCGCACATAGACGTTTCCCGTCAGATACATCAGACTGCACAACAAAGTGCTGAAAAAGCAATCTCAGATAATATTCTGTTGATTCTAAAGGGAAGCTGCTTGATGGAATAAACTGAAGTGATTAATGATGACCAGAGGTAAGTTATAATGAGATCTCATTTGTTTTAAGATGCCAGGTCTGTGGTTTTTCTAGCTTCCTACTGGCTATTTCTGTGTTTAACAGATGGATGTCATGTGTGTCTCACGTGGTGATTTATCCGTGTGTCTGAATGTATTAATTAAATTATTTCAAAAACAATGGACTGTTTCCACTCGGAGCTCATAATAAGTGGATTCAATGCCTGGTTAGCCCTGAGGAATGTGAATAATTTAGTTTCCTCAGATGTGTGTGTGTTTGTGGGTTTACTGAATCCTTCACAGAAATAAGTGCTTCTCTGATTATAGACTTATCTAACAAACATAAATTCTTCAAAATGAGTACTTAGAATATTCCTGGGAATCATATTGGAGGAATCCAAACGCATCTCATCCAACAATGACATAGAACTGTAAACTATTGCTGTTCTGGTTTAAAACATTTACAATCAGAGAAATAACTGAAAAAAGAGAAATGGAATAGTAAAATAGTTCAATAGTTATTGAAGTGGTTTGTGTTGCTGCACAGGATTCATTTCAGGTTAAAAAAAAAAAAAGGAAGTGAGCAAAAGCAAGAAATGAAATAAAAACAGTGTTCTTAACTTACTTCATTTGCTTTACAATGGTGCTCTTTCCAGACTCCCCAGCACCTGTTGAGACATTAAAATATTAATAGTTACAAATAAATCTAAGGCCAGTGTTGTTTTTGCAAAATAATTAGAACAAAGTTCAGATGCAGCAGTGACTGTTCTGCTCTGAAAACATGAGTGACCCAGTGATGACCTGGCTCTTTTGTCCTCTGGGTTGTTTACGTTTATTTATGTTCCCATATGTGCGGACGTGAGCCATGGACACAAATGATCTTCCCCCATTAGTTCCAGTGTTTGTGTTTTAAAAAAAAGAAGAGTGTAGTCAACAGATAAACCATTACAAGCCAAACTTTAAAATAATTACAAAAACTTATCTTTTAAATTTTACTTTTTTTTTGCTGTAAATCTGTTCAGCAGCTCCATAATTTATTTTCTTGTTTTCTTATTTTATTCTGCACCTCAGTGAAATATTAACATGTTTTATCTCTGGGAGCTACATCATGTTTTAGTTTTAATAAGCTAAAAGCTGATAAGACAGTCTTTAGTGGAAAAAAAATATTTTCAAATTAAGCTAACTATCGTTGCGACGCATAACTCATAAATGGTCTTTAAATAGATTAAATTATTTATTGCATCTTATGATTTTTTGATTCCTTTTCTGTCTGACTTTCAGATGTTGAGTATGACTTCAGCTCCCATGAAATAGGCAATGATACTCTTTAGCTTTTTGTTTCATTTATACGTTAAAAATTCTTTATAAACAAACATGTAACAAAATCATTCGATAAATAAATGGGTTAAAAATTGAGGGTGGCAGTTCTTTGACACTTTCTAAGCACTATCAGAATCAGTTATACCGTCATCAAATTCACACTTAAACAGTTGTTTTGTTGGTCCGTAATATATTTTAATAAAAAATGATAAATGTTAGCTTTTCAAAACATTCTCTGTCATTATTCCGGGGGTCTTTATGCAGACAGTGTGAAAGAGAAATAAAAAGAAGCTAATAACTAGATGAAAAGTAAAGATAAAAAGAAGCTAATACTTTAAATCTAGCAGATTAACTTAATGAATTATGAAGAGCAGGTTTTCTGAAATCAACCTGCTCTTCATTATTTAATATTTCAAACATCAAGTCTCCAACGTGTTTATTATTATTATTATTATTATTATTATTATTATTATTATTATTATTATTATTATTATTATTTTATTTTTTTAAATCAGAAAACTTGTTTAAATTCCCAGTTTTTCCCAGGTCTGTCATAAATAATCAAAGACTGCCTTTGGTGATGATAAAGAAAAGAAAGTATTGTAAATGCACAAGCTGGCTTGAAAGCCGAAGTTTACAATACTGCCCTGCGTAAAGAGAAAGTGGAGTATTACTCTCTCTGCAGAGACACACACACACAGTGAAGGTCACCTTCCTCCATGGCACAAAAATAAAACGTTTCCATTAATATTTGAAGCCTAGCAGGAGGTGAACGCTTGTAAAAAGGAAGAAAGAGATGAGGCTTCTAATCTTTCTCCCAGGGTGGCTTATGAGAATAAGACACTGTTCTACTGCTTCAGGGGGAAATTTTCTGAACCTCTATCAGATTTTACAGGTGAAAGTCAGCTTGTTGCAAATTGAAGGAAGAAACGGTGCAGACTAAACATTATTGTTGTCATACATCTTTGGGCTGAAAGTCAATTATGAAACAATACCGAAAGTAAGTCAACATTATTTGGCTTTCTTAGTGTTCAAAAAGGAAACGAAAAGAACTGCCAAAATGTATTTGTTGCGGTCCAAGGTATTAATACTGTGTTTGAGATTTAAGCTCAAGATTATAACTATTGTGAAAGGGAAGCTGCTGGTGTCATTATGTGAAAGGCGGACAGACGTATACAGATTTCATCCAGATTAACCACAGGTATCAGAAAATGACAGCTCCCTGCATTGTTTCTTTATTACACAGCAAGTCTAAGTGCTACACAAACACTGTGACAGAATAGAAACAATTTATGGAGCCTGTGACCTCACCCCAACCCTTCAGCCATCCATCAGCGGCTGCCTCCTGCTGCACAAATACCAGCCACTGACTTCTGCTGCCGCTTTCAGAGTAAAAATGTCTGAGCTACAACCAAAGCATCCTAAACAATCCGTCTAATACTGAAACATTGTAATTCTGACTTTTTAGTAGCAATGACCTCACAGAAAAAAATAAATTTTCAGCAAGTGCTAAACAATTTTTAAAATATGATCAATTATTTTACTGTGAGATAAACAAAAACTGGAAGATCAATTTTTACTAATAGCCCTGAAGAATTAGATTTTTTGGGAACCAATCTCTTTGCTGATCACTTAGCCAGTTTAATTTTGAGTTAGAAATGTGCTATAGTTACATATGGGATCATTGTAATTTCATATTAAGGATGCAGTGAAAAAGGAAGATGGAAATAATTGTTATCTATGTACATGATAGTGTTAGAACTGCAGCACAGATAGCTGCTACTGGAAATTAAAACAGAAGCAGTTTAAAAAAAAAAAAAAAGAAAAAAGAAACGTATCTAAAAATGTATTTTGATCCTTTTGTTGTTTCATTACTATGCGGTAAACATTTAGGGAAATATTTATCATGGTCAATGTGTTCTGTATGTCAGTGTTCATGCCAGTTATGATGTTTCTTTATTACTACTGGTTAACATCCACCATGAGAAAATGTCTAAGTGCCAAGAGTCACATCCTGCCAGGGTTTGTAAGAGGACAAGACCGTATAAAGCTAGACCGATGGATATTTGCTAAATAAAAGCTAAATGTTAATATCCGTAGTCAAAAACACCACTGCTGAATTTGTATGTAGCTCTCCAGGGAAAGGTTTATTTTCTGCATGTCTGATTAGAACAGGAACAAGGGAAAAAGACAAGTCTGCATGTTTTTGGCCAAGAAAAGGATTGTTTTTTTCGGATAGCCCATGTTAAACATGTAATATTTAATCTACCTATAATTGGTCAACATTATTGACAATTATACAACAATTGCTAACCATTGCAACTGAAGGCTTTATGGGATCACCAGTAAATTCTGAACTATTTGTATTCCTCTTAACACCTAACGTTACAAGCAGTCTTAAAGGTGTGCGTTGGCTGTTTCTTTATTAAAGCAAAAACAAACAGTGTCAACATTAATTGATCACAGTGGGGCACAACACAACTCTCATCTTCATATGAGATAGGGACACCAACAGTCAACAAAGCTTCATTATGAGGGGACATAAAAATGTTGAAGCATATTGTAGCACTGAGGGATATAATTATGGCTCTATAAGACCATAAAACGATTGCTGATATAATTGATATTAAGACGTATTCACATAGAGCTAAATGAAATACACAAATATCTGTTTTGTGTAGAACATTAAATGAGTTTGATTAGAAATGCCACATGGAGACTGAGATTTGGTACGCAGTGGGGGCAAGTCAGCATCTATTTGCAGACCTTAAAACTTTGACTTTTTATTGTTGGCACAGCAAACTCTGGATTGCTTTGTGATGGGGATATGACAACACCACTTCCATTTCCTGCTTCATTAACCACAACTATCCTACCCGTGTTGTTTTCCAGTGAGTGTCAAAAAAAAAGAGGATCAGTGATAAGAAAATCCAAGTTGGTGGAGAAAAGAAAAACCATAACTCGCTTTTCTTTCTCTCACTAGCCATGATGGGTGCTTGGCAGCTCTCTCAGTTGCATACTTCTGATGCCACAGAGTCTGCTCAATAAGTGGACGACATGTCCTGATATCGAGCAGATACATTTCCACCCATCCTTTCAGAGTACATATCAATGAGAGCGAGCTTAACACAAACAAACAAACAAAAAGGATATTTGACTTTTTGGTTGCCAAAACCTCTCTGGTTTTATATAATAATTGTATAATTGTTTGACACACGTGGACATTTTTTTTTAAAAGGATGGTATGTATTTTCCTGGCACATAGTGCCATTTATAGCACAATCAAGTAACCATTTTACCTTCAGTTATAAAAATGTTGTATTTATCAAACATTTGACGCCTTGATAATGGGCTTCTGTCTCTTTAAGAAGCTCCTACTCTTTCGGATATTCCACCCTCAGGACGTCATCACAATATATCTACTCAAAATGTCATTGACAACCACCAGAGGTTGGAGTCCTTGTCAAACGGTGTTTTTGATTAAAGTCCCAGAGGGTTAGAGTCCCAGTTAAACGACGTTTAACTGAGGTCCTAAAAGGGGCGCTGGTTTTAATGTTTTTATCTTTTTTAATCTTTTTTCAAAATCTCTTTCTCTTTCTCACTGTTTGTTCAATGTCATATGCTGTTTTTATTTTAATTATGTAAAGCACTATGAAATGCCTTGCTGCTGAAATGTGCTATACAAATAAAATTTGATTGATTGATTGATTGATAGAAGGAGTTTATCCAATAAGCTCAGCAGACACACAGTTTCAACAGGTGTTTGCTTAATTGCTGCTGCCGCTAGTCTAGTGGAGCAGTGTGCAGGAGGCACAGGAGAGGGGTGTAATTTCAAGCAGAGGCTTTGTGGAAATACGCAGCGCTTTGTATGAGCAGGCGTTTTAAGTATCCCTCGATGGCTGCCACAGAAGATTCAAGGATTTCTCAATCATGAATGAGAGAATCAAAGCAACACTCCAGGTATTATTTTGATGGTGAAATAACATCATAACATAATGTAAAGCTAAAAAAAAAAAATGTCGATCTTACCTAATACCTCCCCGTTTAACACTACAACACCCTCACAGCTGGACCTGCAATCAGTCGATGTCTGATGAACATGGGGTCTAACTGCTCACTCACTGCATGCCCACAGGGAGGGGTTTATATTGGGCTGGATGTCTGCTTCTTCGTGTTCAAATCACAATCTGTCGGGGGTGGATGTGGATCTGAACTGACATAGGTTGGACGGTGAAACCTAGTGTTCAAATCTAACAGTTTGAGTGTTATTAATTAGCACGCAGCGGCATGCAATGCACATCCTCCGTTTGGTCACTGTGACTAAGCAAAGGTGGGCAATAACACCATG